TACCAGTTGCCTATTAAGACACAAGAATACAACAATCAGACAGAACTTAGTTTTTAATATTTGATGCTGATTGTATCACTATTCTCAATCTACATTTAAACAGTCATATTATACGAAGTGATCACTAAGTCAGAGAAATAAAATTTGTCTTGTAGTAGAATAATGAACTGTTTTCTATATATTTTTCACTCTTAACTGATGGCCACCACAATAATTGAGATTGTAAAAGAGGTTGGGTGTAGGCTAGCTCTGTTACAGCAGTTTTTATTCTTGCTTAACTTCTGCCTTTTGCTATCAAAAGCTAAAAACCATAGATGCATGAGCTGAAGGCAGATCTGGAAATTTATTTGAAATTTAATAGCAACCATATGATTGAAATACTGAAAAAGAACTTTGGTATGCTTGAAAAGCATTAATAAAGGGCAAGTGAATTCAGAAAGCCAAGTAATAAAATGCTTTCATAACAGAAATTTAAGTTAGAGGAGCATTTTTAAAAATAAAAATATAGCTTAAAAAAAATGAAATTGTATAAAATAATGGAAGTTCAGCAGGAACTTAATCCGTCCACTGAAAGGGTTGAAATTAGTGAACTTGTGGCTCGTCCTACTAGGAGAGGCAGGTAAAGTGGCCATCCTGGAGACATATCCACAACACGTTAATAATTAGCCATCAGTCAGAAGACAGAATAACACTTCCTTCTTACTAAAATAAATAATTAAAGAATAAAAACCTCACAAATCAAAAGGCAATGTTTCATTTTTCTATTTTATGTTAATGTTGCACTACTTCTTATGATTTTAGTTATTCTGAGAAAACTCATACTCACAGGACTTAAGGATTCGGACAAGAAAGCTTATTGAGGATTTCTGAAAAAAAAAAAAAAAAAGCACAGAAGTTATAGAATTAATTAGAAATGAATAAATGCTACGGCTACAGGCAATGACTTCTCCTTTGAGACCAGACAGGCTTTATTTATCTCCCTTGATGCATAACTTGATTTTTGTATTTTTTCTTGTTGATTCTGAAGGATTAGAACTGTGATATAATTAGAAATGTGATATAAAATTGGAAAGCAAGGCGATGACCTAGGACCCTAGAGAAATTAAAATCTATCATGCATTTTTTACTGTCTCTTGAGAAAATGTTTGGGGTCCCATCAACTCTACTGCTTGTTACCTTCCCACATACCAGGCTAGAAAATACCTCATCTGATTCCTCTGATATCAGTTCTCTGTAGAGTGAAATATAGCAAATATACCATAGAGTTTCTTCAGATACATGGAAGAGTGCGTTGAGGAGTGAAGCACTTGTAATGGTGCTCAAATGCTCTAGGTTTATTTACCATGTCACTGAATGTCAAATGGCTTGATATTAGTTAATAAGACTGAATGTCAACTCTAAGTTAGGCAAATTAAGGTAAAATGTGATAGCATTAATTTAACGCATCAAAAAAAATCAGCAAACTCAGAAATATATATGTATTGGTTTTTTTTGTTGTTGTTATTTTTTGTTTGTTTTGTTTTGTTTTTGTTTTGTTTTGTATTTGCAGTTTTGATCGCGGGGCAGCTGTAGGGGTAACCTCTTGGAGAAGAGTCCAAAAGCTGCCCCATGTTAGATAAAGGCCATTTTCAGCTGGCTCAAAAGGGACCCACTGATGGCCGGAGCTGAACCAGAGAGCCTCTGTGAGAGCAGGGAAAAAAAGGCTGAGACACACTCGCTCAGAGAGTGAGAAGTGAGAAGCAGCCCTGCAGCCCCCCAGGTGAGTGCAGCAGGAGGCAGGGGTTGCTCCAGGCAGGCAGCAGCAGTTCCCCTGCGGGCTGTGCAGGGAGAGGCCCCCGGTGGAGCAGGCTGTCCCCCTGCAGCCCATGGGTCCCCCATGGAGCAGATCTCCACGCTGCAGCCCCCCCGTGGGTGGAGGAGCCCCCGGTGGAGCAGGTGGATGTGGCCTGGAGGAGGCTGCGGCCCATGGAGAGCCCCCGCAGGGCAGGAGCAGGCCCCGGGCCGCAGCTGCAGCCCCCCCGTGGAGAGGAGCCCCCGCAGGAGCAGGGGGTCTGGGGGGAGCTGCCGCCCAGCCGTGGGGGACCCGTGCTGGAGCAGTTTGCTCCTGGGGGATGGATGGATGGAGCCCGTGGGACGGAGCCGTGTGGGAGCAGTGCTTGAGGAGCTGCTGCCTGTGGGCAGCCCGTGTGGGATCAGCTGGGGAAGGACGGCATCCCGTGGGAGGGACCCCACGGGGAGCAGGGGCAGGGAGGGAGCGAGAAGGAGCGGCGGGGACAAAGCATCAGGGACTGACCGCAGCCCTCAGTCCCCTGTTTCCCTGCGCTGCTCAGGAGGAGGAGGTGGAAGAGGGCAGATGGGGAGAAGACGTTTTGGGTTTCTTTCCTTTGTTTCTCACGTGTCTAGTTTGCTGGTAGTAGGCAATAACTCTTACTATCTCCCTATGCTGAGTCTGCTTTGCCCGTCACGACAGTTGTTGAGTGATCTCCCTGTCCTTATCTCAGCCCTTGAGCCCTTTGCATCGTATTTTCTCCCCCTTTCCCTTTGAGGAGGGGGAGTGAGAGAGCGGCCGTGGTGGAACTCGGCTGCCCACCCGATTCAGACCAGCGCAGTTGCAAAGGACTGGAAAAGTTTTCCGACGAAACAAGATGTTTAACAAGGAAGTGCATAGTTTCCTTATTAAGGCTTCCTGGATAATTGGGGTTATTTCATATTCCCATCTCGGAGGAAGAGAATTGTTGATTTCACCTTCTTTTTTCTTACATGGAAATCAAAGGTGAACTGCTCTCCAAGTACGGGCAACGTATCAGAATCAAGCTCTTTTTGTCTGTAATCCCTTCTCAAGGAAAAGATTGATCACACACCTTCCACAGATGTAGGGGAGCAGGGAATAATGTTTGAACTACTCTAATTCAAGGCAGTTTGGGCATAGTGGTACTTCTCTAGCTGTTTCTGAGACAGACGCGTTAGCAACAGAGAGTGTTGTGCCGTCACTGGGAGGCGCCTGCGGTGATGACTTCAGAAACAGAAGGGAATTATGTCACCACAGCACTTTGGGAAGAGCTGCCTCTGCGCACGTTTAGCTGGGAGGGACAGAGAAGGGTGCTGGATGTGATGAAACTACGTGAGGATTTGTGGATCTCACCTTGAGGTGCACAGAGAGGGACCATGCCCTTCTGTAAGTGTTTTGACGCTTGGCTGGGGAAAACAATGCGGTTTTGTTGTGAATGCTTCATTTTAGTATTCTGTAGTTTGTGCCAAGTCCTTACAGAAGCCTCAAGGTTGGTACTTTGCTCAATGATGGAGCTGCACAGAGTGAGAACAGACCCAATGTACGGGTGAGGGCCTCTGCACGTTCTCTTCTTCCTACAGACGATCAACAAATAAGGGTAGACAGAGAAGAGTGTGCTGTGGTCCTCCCATAGACCGCAAGTACTGAAGCATAAACAAGAGGCTTAAGAGTCCCCCTGTCACGTTAAAATTCAGGACAGCAATGCACTTCATCACACGGGCTGGCCTGTCGACTAGTGTCTCAGGCTGTGGTGTATGAAGATGCACTCCATCTGCTTTCAGGGTAGCAATGGCAGTGGGCAAGCTGCCTGACCTTAACATTTGTCATTTCATCTTTCAACAAAGTTTTGCTGGTTTCCCACGATTCAGTCTTGGTCTAGGAAAAAAAAAAAAAAAAAAAAAAAAAAAGTGAATTCGGATCAAATAAAAGGTTTTCCTTTCCGTTAGTTACGTGTTCTTAACTTGACAGATTTGATTATCGACTTAGAAGGCAAATATCTGGCCAGACTGCAAGACTTGTGCTCGCAGCGTGGGACAGCTCTCGTAAAGGTGATTCAGGGTAGCTTCTGGAGAACAAGACATCAGATCTCCCAAACAGCTTTCTTTGTGCTAATGTAGGAAGGGCGAGTAAGAGTAAAGGTAAGAGTCCAGGTACCATAAGAAGCGGAAGGTGTGAAGGAAACTTCCTTCTGGCTGATACAGCTCCATATCTAGTTGTCAAGTATGAAGAGAGCAGCTCTAAGTTTCTTGGGGAGAGGAAAACAAAGAGACTGGGAGATTGTACAAAGAAAAAAATGGGATGAGCTATTTCAGGAAATCCTAGTAACTGGAAATAGAGATTGGAAGAGTGCTTTAAGCCAAGACAGAAACTTTTTAAAACTAAAGCCTAGGAGTTGGATGAACCAAGAAATGAATCCATTTTGATTATGCAGTTGTGTCCAGCGTTATCTTGGGAAATATGGTTTCCACATAAATGTATCTGGTGCTTGAAGTTCTCCTAAGGCCCTTCTCTGTGTATTCCCTACTGTTTGGTAAGCGCTGAGGTCACACTGCAGACAGCAGCACGTCCTCTCCCCACTACTTAGCTGTCTGTTCTCACAACACGTCTAGGAACAGAATGGCTTTGGCACAACTGCGCCTAGGACCGAGTTCATTCAAGCTGGTGGACGAGGTAAAAGCTCTGGACAAGCGAAGGGGAGGGAGGGATGGATGGACATACAATATGATCACTTTAATCTCATTTCTCTAAGAATCCTGGCTGAGAAAACAAAACAAAACAAAACAAAACAGAATCAAAAAGAACAGAACAGAACAGAACAAATGAAGCAAGCAGCTAGCTTGCTGGAGACATTGTCTGGGAAACAGTGAAAACACTTGCAGACAAAAAACATACCAAAGGACTAACTCTTTGAGCTTAATTCTAATCCAGCAGCATAACCTCAAACTCCTGTTTCTGTTCGTCACAGGCTGGTACAGTAACATGTCACACTGGATGACTTTGCAGCATAGATGTCAGGAATGCAGCTTGGGATCACCTCCGTCTACTTAGAGGTCAGTTTGAAGGGATGAGCAAGTAATTTTTCCTGGGTTGACAGAAATCTAAAGTCTGTTTTCTAACACTCTTACAGACACTTCTCTGTCCATCGGCCTGTCCTGCCAACTCTGGTGTGAGTGTGAAGTTGTGGCAAGAGGGATTTCCCATTCCTATTTGACCTGGTGGACACCAGCTCTCCTAGGAAATGGCTGATGTTGCTGAGGAGGCAGCAGTATCAAAGCCCTTGTTGATGAAGGTACAACAAGCTGGGGAGGCTTTGGCATTTCTGCACAATGCTGCTCCCTGATTGTCACTCAAGACTCAGATTCTGAAAGAAGCAAAGCAAGCTAGAGGAAAACTGTACGTCCGGGTAATTTTCTTTCTTTCTGTTTTTTCATTCTTCACTTGTAAGAAAACCTAAGTCTTTAAACCATTTGTTTGCAAACACGGCTTAATGGAAATGCTTATGGGTGTGCTCCTTCACCTTGTTTGGAACCTGCTTCACCTCGCTTCAGCTATAGGACACCTATGCTCCAATGTATGCTTCCCATGATAAAGCGGTGTTCTTTCGGTATTCTTTTCTGAGATGGTTGCAGGTGAGGTTGAAAAGAGTTGTCAGTAGGATTCTTCGTTTCCTTTGCAGGATCCAAAACTCCGTATTACAGCGGATCTTCTCCTCTGATCTGAAAAGCTTCACAGGCCAAAAGAGAATTGAGATGACGAAGGAAACAGAGAATGCTGACCAGTATTTCCAATTACCACCCGTAAGTTTTGTGAAAGAATCCGGTGCATTTCTGTAGTGGTAGAAAGTTAATCAAATCATGATCGTGCACTTGAAGGCAAGCAATGCTACAAAAATGAAGAATGCAAGGCCCTGCTTAAGGGCAATCTTCAGACTGCTTCTAGATCAACAGCTTGTTTGGTTCTTCCACAACCTCATCTCCGCTTGCTTAGAAGTTGTGAAGGTCGGAAGCACACTCCGTCTTTTTCATCCCCTCTGTGTATCTTTTCCCTGACTGCAACTTCTGTCTTGGCTCTTCACATCCAGCCAGAGCAGTTGCTTTGCCTCCGCAACCTGCAGGCTGTCCTGCAGGTTGTACCTGTGCTGGACTGAGGGCAATGCTTGTAACGCACACAGATGCTGTATTCACTAGGACTTTTAGAAAAGAGAGCAAGAAGCTAACCTGCGCAGCAGTTTCTTAGGTTTCTGCATATCTATCTCTCTATCTATCTCTCTGCGTATATATTTCATTACTTCTTTACTTGTTTAAAGATCCTTTAAATACAGTAGATACTTTAAGAAAGCTTACTTGTTCTTCTCCTTTACTTGTTTTTAACGTTTACTTTTCTAACCGATCCTTAATGTTACAACATTGGATTTCTTTAGTTCTCAGTCCTTAGAAGTTCTCAAAGCACATCAGTGATTTCTCTATTTCTCAATCTTTCCATCTGCATTGAGACCTCTTTTCTGAATTTAGGTATTAGGTGAAGAAGAACACTGCAACCAGCTGAAGCCGTATCAGACACATGCTTCTGCTAGGAAGTCATTCTGAGTGATTCCACGGTGTACTTTAGACAGGTTTGCTCTGGTCCTCTGGACTCAGCATCCCCAAGGGATATTTCAAAGCTCTCAGAAGGACCTGTCGTTATCTCTGACACTGCAGCCTCCATTAGGAACGGGTAAATATTCCTTGCCCTTGTGGAAAGGAACTACTCAGTTAGCTGTTTCTAACCCAAATCTCTTTGTTGTCTTCTATTGACAGACACCACCCGGCTAGCCAAGCTAAACCTTTGAAAATGGAAGGAGTGGGACATCTTCAAAAGCCTGCTGCTGCTTCTAAGCAGAACTGCCATGTAGGTGGGGACACAGCAAGAGGACACGTCCAGGCCAGGGTGGAACTGCAAGGCACCTGTCTGAGCCACACAACGAAGTCAGCGATTCCCAGTTGGAGACTGTTGCTCAACTAGTGACACAGCAGCTGGTGCGCTTCTGGTTGCTGCTGATGGGTTCCAGTGAATCAGCCAGGGATATGAGCTACGAGAACGGCTGAAGCGATCTGAACTTACCTGAAAGAAAGAAGACAAGAGGGGAGGGAAGGGGAGGGAATAAAAAGAAGGGAAGGGAGGGGAGGGGAGGGGAGGGGTGGGGAAGGGAGGGAATAAAAAAAAGGGAAGGGAGGGTAGGGGAGGGGAGGGGAGGGGTGGGGAAGGGAGAGAATAAAAAAAGGGAAGGGAAGGGAGGGGGAGGGGAGGGGAGGGGAGGGGAGGGGAGTGTAGTGTAGTGTAGTGTAGTGTAGTGTAGTGTAGTGTAGTGTAGTGTAGTGTAGTGTAGTATAGTGTAGCATAGTAGAGGGGAGGGGAGCGTAGGAGAGTATAGGGTAGTGTAGGACAGCGGAGTTTAGGGGAGTGTAGGGTAGGATAGGGGAGGGGAGCGTAGGGGAGCATAGGGGAGGGGAGCATAGGGTAATGTAGGGTAGTGTAGCGAAGGAGTGTAGGGTAGTGTAGGGGAGGGGATTATAGGGGTGTGTAGGGGTGTCTAGGGGAGGGGAGTGTAGGGGAGTGTAGGGGTGTGTAGGGTAGTATAGAGGAGGGGAGTGTAGGGTAGTATAGGGGAGGGGAGGGGAGTGTAGGGGAGTGTAGGGGTGTGTAGGGTAGTATAGAGGAGGGGAGTGTAGGGTAGTATAGGGGAGGGGAGGGGAGTGTAGGGGAGTGTAGGGGTGTGTAGGGTAGTATAGAGGAGGGGAGTGTAGGGTAGTATAGGGGAGGGGAGGGGAGTGTAGGGGAGTGTAGGGGTGTGTAGGGTAGTATAGAGGAGGGGAGTGTAGGGGAGTGTAGGGGTGTGTAGGGTAGTATAGGGGAGGGGAGTGTAGGGGTGTGTAAGGTAGTATAGGGGAGGGGAGTGTAGGGGTGTGTAGGGTAGTATAGAGGAGGGGAGTGTAGGGGAGTGTAGGGTAGTATAGGGGGAGGGGAGGGGAGGGGAGGGGAGGGGAGGGGTGTGTAGGGTAGTATAGGGGAGTGTAGGGGAGGGGAGTGTAGGGGTGTGTAGGGTAGTATAGGGGAGTGTAGGGTAGTATAGGGGAGGGGATTTTAGGGGTGTGTAAGGTAATATAGGGAGGGGAGTGTAGGGGTGTGTAGGGTAGTATAGAGGAGGGGAGTGTAGGGGAGTGTAGGGTAGTATAGGGGAGGGGAGGGTAGTATAGGGGAGGGGAGGGTAGTATAGGGGAGGGGAGGGGAGTGTAGGGGTGTGTAGGGTTGTATAGGGGAGTGTAGGGGAGTGTAGGGGTCTGTAGGGTAGTATAGGGGAGGGGAGGGGAGGGGAGGGGAGGGGAATGTAACAGTGTCGGGACAGGGAGCATAGGGGAGGGGAGGGGAGGGAAGGGAAAAGAGCAGATGGGAGGGGTGGGGAGTGCTACCATAAATAAAATTGCCAAATACATGACATTTTGGATCTGGAGCCAAATCTTTGTGTTGCTGAAGGGACGCAAGACACAGACTCCTGATGGCTTTTGAACAGGAGGCGTTTATTGCCCTTTTTCACTACTACATGTCCTCTCCCCGTAGCCCCACGTGCTGTCCACGCGCCCGAATCTATCATACAGTTGGTCAGAGACCCTCAGACACGCGCCTGGAGCCAGCCAGCAATTGCCCACTGCCCAAAGGTCCTCTTTAACACTGTAGCCAATTCTTTATCCACGCCTCCCTCAAGGTTTTGTTTCTACTGCACGTGGAGCAGGAGCAGAGACTGCCCTTGAAGCAGTGGTAGGCAGAGATGAAGCATTAGGGACTGACCACAGCCCCCATTCACTGTTCCCCTGTACCACCTGGGAGAGGGTGTGGAAGAGAGTTGATGGGGGAAGGTGGATTTATTTTGTTGTTGTTGTTGTTGGTTGTTTTTTTTTTTAGTTTCTCACTGTCCTACATTGTTAGTGATAGTTAATAAATTATATTAATCTCCCTGTGCTGAGTCTGTTTTGTCCGTGACACTAATTATTGAGTGATCCGCCTGTCTTTATCACAGCCCTTGAGCCCTTTTCCATTATATTTTTTCCCTTTGAGGAAGGGGAGTGAGAGCAGTTGTGCTGGAACTCAGCTGCCCATCTGGGTAAAACCACAACAATATAATAAGTCAAAAGTGAGGGTATTTTAATAATAATAACAATAATAACCCTTTCTTCATATTAAACCAATGTTGTATTTAGAATGTCTCTTTACTGACTCACAGGGATTTTCATTTCATCAGTGCTTGGTGCAGTGGGCTGTGCACCCCACAGCAAAGCATTCATTGCTGAAGCATGCTGGTTTTACAGACTGTTTCTTGGCTTCTTCTCAGGGTCATCCAGAGGTTCTACTCAAATTTGGCATTTAGCCATCAAAATTTACTCCAACAAGCAATAAAATCCTTCACCATCTTCCTTTGCTGATGGGGACTACAGTTTTACATCAGTAGCACTCATCTTCATAACCATAATCTTCTCCAGCCAGTTATACAAACACACATGATACCATCTCTGATTTTTACTGGCTCTTGGTGGTTGAGACTGGACACAGCAAATGTATCTCCTTTAAAAGAGAGTAGTTCTGGGGTGGGGGTATTTGCAAAGGTAATCTTCGACTTTTGCTGTACTATGGGAAACTCTATTCCCGACAATCTTGATGCTGTGATTTTATGATGTAGTTGTCCTTTTATGAGGCAGAAGATGAGCAGAAAGGATTTTTTTCATCAGTGTAGCTAGTGTGCTTTCTAGCATTGTCTAATAGTACTTACTAATATTGTCCTCTAACTTAACCCCTTGTTCCTAAACTTGCTGCTAATTTACTTCCTATTCTTAGAACTGTCAGACCCATCTGATTTTTTTTTATTATTATTATTTGGGAGGGGGGGATTTTTACCTACTGTTGTAATTCTTAAATGTGTTTTAATATAAGAAGCTGTCGTATGCAGCTAGTTTTGCATGTGTTCCCATGAATGACACTTCTACACCATTGTATAAGTGAGAGTGGATTTGATAATCCAGAAGTTTAATTCCATTTCTTATAGAATGAAAAATAACATGTATGACCATAACTGAGGTTTGTAAGTGGAAGCCCTAGCAGGAAAGATGGGCAACAGCTGTCATTTACTCTAGCAAATGGTTTGGGGCTGAAGTGCAGTGTATCATTTTGCTGATCGTTGAGTATTTCCTCAGTATTTGCATAGCTTTATATTGTGTACAATACTATCAGTCTGAAAGTAGCTATTTGGAAATAGGGTTTGTGAAGTCTGTTGAGTAAGGAGTAAAAATAAGCAAATGAGGAAAGGAAAAGATTCAGAATGCTTTAATTTGGACTGTGTATTTGTTTTAGAAAAATGTGGGAGGAATATATGTGTAATAAATTGTTTTACATAGTATATCTTTCATTTATACAGGAGTGTATATGAATAGTTACTTAGCTTTTCACTAATAAAGAGATTATATGAGTGTGTGAACATGGAAGAATAACATTAAAAATGGAAGGCAAGTGTGCAGTAGGACCTATCACTATAATATTGCATCTAATATTAACTCATTGACTCAGAATTTTAAAGTGTTCCAACTCATTTCAGCACAAGGGCTTCACACTTATTTAATCATGTATATGTATGCTGGCTGGTTTGAATAAGAGCAAATTACAACCATATCATCTAACTACTCTTTTATGTTGAATTTATAGTTGCACAACTCCTGCAATAAATCTGAAAAGAAAATTGGACTATGAGGCAGAGGAATAGGAACCATATGTGGAAGGGTGTGGTACAGGGAAAGCATTGGATACTGATGCAGAGGCATATGACTGCATAAGGAGAAAGGAAGAGCTTATATTTACTGTATAAGGAGAGATGTGAATTTGGACTATACTTTCTTTAGTAAAAGTCTGCATGTGAAAATGTGTTATTAAGAAACAACATGAAGAATAGAAAAGAAATCCAACTGAACTGAATAGACTGAAGACTCCTGTTTCCCGAATTTCAGTACTATCTTTAGCTGCCTCAGACATATCCAAAAATCTATAGGCAAGGAATATATAATTTCTTTCTACTATGGTAACAGTGATGTTAACATGCTCAGGAAGTAAAAGAGACAGTGAGAACTGAATATTTAATTTACTTTTTTACAGTTTGGAGAAAGGTAACACTGAATCGTGACACTAAGGCTTGTTTTAGTTACCCATCATGACTCTTTCATGAAGGAAGTGACTTCCAATTTGGTCTACACCATCATGTGGGACTTGCTCCAAAATTGTAAAGAGACATTCTGAAACAGTGACTGCTCAAATTCAACCTCTCTCAAGGGGCAACAAAAAGAAATTCAACATATCTGTACACAATTTTCAAAAGGGGAGCCACAAGAAAGTAAAAAGGCTAGCAGAAGAGGACGATAAAAGGAAAAAAATGTTTGAAAGCAGCATGGAAACAAGTAGAATTTTAAAGCAAAAGCATCCTACCTGTCAATAAAGACTTGAGAAATGGCAAATGCAAATAGCTAAATAGCAATGCAATGGAAAC